TCACCAATGCCGGCAATGGAAACAATTTTAACGCTGATGCAATTTATCAGAAATATCGTCTGTTACACTGCACTGATCAACAGGGGTTCGTTACAAATGTCTGAAATACACATATTCTATAGACCTACTGACACATATATTACAGACCTACTGATATGAGTCACAGCACACATAAACATTTCAGACAGTTGTAACGAACCTGTGCTCCGTCGCAAGATCACTCACTTCAAACGCTATCAGTTTCACGCGTCTCGCATTAACGGTTCCTTAGTTTCTGACGACATGTCAAATAACGAGGCTGTTATAGAATCTACCGACTGTTGTCAGGTTCCCATACAATCAACAAATAAATTAACTCCTGGATTCTTTACAAAATTAGCAAAGTGAAAAGTTCTAATTAACTTCCAAAAATAACTCCCTCGTGGAGGGCAAGATCGGATTTACGGTGTTCACTGTATTTGTCCATGCGCGAAATTTGTTCCGGGGAAAAATCGAAACACTTTCAAATCTAACTTTCAGCTCAGAGTTCTATTGATAAATTTTAATCACCCTATAGACATATCATACGCAATTGTATTGATACTGAATTGTTGAATAAAATTGAAGTGTTTGTTAAAATTTCAAAGTACTACTTTGTTTGCCAATCAGCACGCGACAATACGCTGTTCAAACTATTGAACGAAATTGTGTTGACTGTCGATAAGGCGGGCATTTTTAATTTTAAATATAAATTATAAGTTAAAAAAGAACATAAGAGGCAGAGAAAACGTAAATATAAGTATTGAACTGTTTTTGTATGGTATTTATGATCTATTTGAATGACACAGCTTTGCGAGCAAACAAATCATAATTATAATTATGTTGTTTGCTTGCAAAGCAGTGTCATTCAAATATATCATAAATACCATACAAAAACAGTTCAATGCTTAAATAACGTGTCCATTGGATGAATAGGTACAACACAAGAGGTCTCATGTTCTTAACCTAGGTTAAGACGTGTAATTAGTCCCTATCATATTTATCTAGGGTTCCTCCGTTATTTTGATTCTCGATCTTGGCATTATTTGTCTATATTGTTCTCCATGTCTCAATTCAGTTCGCAAGGCTTGTCGTCGTCAACTGAAGTCACCTCTGTTAAATTTTTGCAATTTAACGTTATTCTTAGCTCTGATTATTTCGAAATTCTGAATCAGAGTTTAATGACCACATTGGATATTGGACCACCTCTAAATTGCTTATTAATGACTTCAAACTAAGTTATATAACATGTAGGATACCAATCACAATTCTACAAACTTGTACACCATATAACACTCTTGTGTCGCGATAACTTTTGTATATACAATGTATGATCATGATGCAAAATGACGATTTGTATCGCTTTTGCGTAGCAGAGAACGGCCACTGACAGCTTATGACTAAAAAAGTGTATCTCAGCCAAGTTCGGCTGATGTAGGAAAGATAACCATACCATAAATGTGAAAGGCAAAAGTGGACCACACAAATTACCACGGTACAGAAACGAAGTATACATGCTCCCATTTGTGGACCACGCGCAGTGCACAACGAAGTGTGCACCGCACAAAAGTGATACGCGGAAATAAAAACAAAGCATGAAAGCTTCGTAAAGGGAAAAGAATAATATATTTTTGTGTTGTTTGTGGGTTTATATAGTTCTCAGCTTTGAAGGTTTGAGGATTTGTCGTTTTTAATTGTCAAAACTATGCAATCCTTAGAAATGTTATACATCATACAGGCACTTCTCTTGTATATCTCTACCTATATATAACAATCATTGGTTTGAACTTAATAACAGTTTGGAGACACACATATTACAGATGCCTGGCGATTAACACAAACCTTATTCAAGTATTTTCCAATATAGTGACCGACCCTGTGCAGACAGGACGTTAGGACTCAAGGCAAGCAATGCACAGCCATTCTATAGCATGGCAAATTTGATAGATACTGTAAGTGGCCAACGGCAGAGGTGGTCAATTCAGATGTCTGCGTTTTCCCTGTCATTAGTGCGGCACGACCAGTGAGAATGCGCCTGAGTTAAAAGTACAAGTATCGTTTCAAGGTGTTGGAAGAAGAGTGTGATCAATAGGGGAAATATATTATACATAACGACTGCCTCCGTACACATAGCACGATCCTATTCACAGCTTTATTGCTGCGGATGTTTTTTGTTTTTGTTTTTATCTTTCTAAAAAATATAAAGTAGGAAGTAAAACGAATCAGTCCTACATGTGTGTCTATACTTAGATTAGATTAATGCTCTATAACTAGTCGTCGTCGCGTCCTAAACTCTTATAAGATTATTAAATAGTTTGAGACCATTTTGTTTGATCCTTATATACGAAGATGCTTGCGTCAAATGCTTTCTACGTGTTTACAAGAAGGAATTAATATTTTCACCTTAAATGGTAGCGCATAGGTTTCACACTTTGATATTTGTCTAGTTTAATATTACAACTAAATAAACCCATTTAATTGGGTGATCTTAGTTGAAGAGTAATTAATATCATTATTACATTGCTCATTAAAAATAAAACATTCAGATCATAACCGTGCATGTGCGATCGCTGGAATAGACCGGTGAATCCAGGGGCCTATCCAGGGGGGAGCCTAGGGGACACGCCACCCNTTTGGCGATTGTAAGATTGCCTCGGCGAAATGAGAAAATTACAAAGATCTTACACGCTGTTAAGCCGTTATTTCTAATCCAGACAGTGGGGCGCTGGCTGGATTATGTCCATTAAATAGGTGTGAAGGCCTCACCTGCTATGATTAGCTGCCCCGGGCTTAAATATAATAATATATAAATAATATATTTATTTGGTCACGTTTACAAGTGTCTCTGTATTACAACTCAGTCGGCGGGGTGCCCATGACATGTGGTCTGTCCTCTGGCGATAAATTTTGACACAGTCATTTAATTTTGTGATAATAATTCGGGTACATCACTTCAAAAACAAACACTGCTTATGGCTGTCAATGATTTTGCCATTAACAAAAACCCACTTAAATACCACAGTAGAAGTAGTACAAACCGGATTAATTATTGTGCATTTTAACAAGAGAGATACATAGACAACATTTTCACCGAAAAATATTTTATGGGGAAAAAAATCACAAGTTCCCATTTTGACAAAAACGGTCGCATGCAATATATAAAAAATATAATGATCTACGTTGGTTAATTGCCTGCATTTAAGCGTTTGTTATTTTACTTATATTTTTTCGTATTTTAATATCCCAACACTGAACATTTGAAAAAAGAAAATAATCACCTTTTAAAACCATTACTTCTAGAATTAAGATGTACACTTTTTGGTCTTAAATGAGATATTTATATTTGGTATATTTATGCAGTAAAACGAGGCTAAATATAATGTTTATAACAAAATAAAATTACTAGTTTAAATGTTAAAATTGTATATATTATATATTCCAAAATAAAAGAATGAATTTAAAAATGAGAATAAAAAGGGATATTCAGCCTAAATGTAGTTTTGTACACACTCAATGTCAGCAGAATGCAGCAATACCCATCAGAAGCCATGCTCAGAGTACCCACAGTGTTAAAATAAATTCAGAACTTTTTGTTTTGTTTAAATACACTCTATCACATATCAATTCGTGCCCCTCCCCCC